CAATAGGCTACGTATTTCTCGTCATGTCACATTTTGGGAGGATACCAAATTCTCTTCCTTGTCCCACTTCCGAGTCCCCTTTGATCGTTCGTCTCCGTTCTTTGCCTTGTCATCTCCACCTCTATTCCCCTCCAGTGACACGGCTCCGTCTCCGTCTCCCGCTCCTGACACTGTCCTGGTTGCGCCTCCTGAACTGCCGCTGATCCCCGAGCCTACTCCTACTCTCGACTCCGATACATCACCACCACCAGAGCCTGACACGACTTCGATCTCAGCCCCTGATCCTGGCCCTCGTCGTTCCACTCGGGTTAGTCACCTTCCTACTCACTTACTTGATTATCACTGCTTCTCTGCCACCTTGTCCCATCATGAGCCTAGGTCCTTTCATGAGGCGTATGCGGATCCGTTGTGGCGGCAGGCTATGTCTGAGGAGTTGCAGGCTTTGGAGAAAACCCATACGTGGGATATGGTTGATCTTATTCAGAATCAAAACTCACTCTGATGGATCCATCGAGCGCTACAAGGCGCGTTTGGTAGCCAAAGGCTACACCCAGCAGTATGGTATCGACTATGAGGAGACATTTGCTCCGGTTGCTCGTCTCACCTCTGTCCGCTGTCTTATCGCCATCGCTGTCGCTCGTCGGTGGCCCCTGCATCAGCTTGATGTCAAGAATGCGTTCTTGCATGGTGATTTATCCGAGGACATCTACATGTCTCCTCTTCCTGGTTTTCCTACCTCTTCCAAGGTATGCAAACTTCACCGTGCCCTATATGGTTTGAAACAGGCACCTCGAGCTTGGTTTTCGAAATTTAGCTCTGCTCTACTCCAGTTTGGCTTTACTTCTAGCAATCATGATTCGGCTCTCTTCCTTCGACGTGGGTCAACTGGAATTACTGTTTTATTGCTTTATGTGGATGACATGATCATTACGGGAGATGATGCATCAGGTATCTCCGAGTTGCAGGCTCATCTACACCGCCACTTCGAGATGAAGAGTTTAGGGCCTCTTCGGTACTTCCTAGGACTTGAGATCTCCGACACCTCCGACGGATATTATCTCTCTCAAGCCAAGTATGCCTCCGACCTCCTATCTAGTGCCGGTCTCACTGACTCCAAGATTGCTCCTACACCTCTTGATTCTGACTGTCGTCTTACTCCGATGAACGGTGTTCCCCTTGATAATCCGACTTTGTATCGTCAGCTAGTGGAAGTCTGATCTACTTGACTGTCACTCGACCGGATATTGCTTATGCCGTCCATATCGTCAGTCAGTTTATGTCTGCTCCTCGGACGACTCATCATTCTGCTGTCCTACGGATTCTCCGGTACGTCAAAGGTACCCTTCTTCATGGGCTTCATTATTCCGCTCATTCCTCCTTAGTTTTGACCGGGTATTCTGACGCTGATTGGGCGAGAGATCCCTCTGATCGCCGCTCGACCACCGGGTTTTGCTTCTTCCTTGGCGACTCGCTTATTTCATGGCGCAACAAGAAACATACGGTTGTCTCCCGGTCCAGTGCAGAGTCCGAATATAGAGCCCTTGCCGATACCGCTGCCGAGCTTCTATGGCTTCGCTGACTGCTGGCTGATCTCGGAGTGCCTCAGCCCTCTGCCACTATTATCCATTGCGACAGTTAGAGCGCCATGAAGATTTCGACGAATGATGTCTTCCACGAGCGTACAAAGCACATTGAGATCGACTGTCACCTTGTACGTCATCACGTTGCTCATGGAAGCATCTCCTTGTCTCCTATTTCCTTTGCTGATAAGACGGCTGACGGATTCACCAAACCTCACCTTCCCAGCCGTTTTCAGTCATTTTTGAGCAAACTCAAGTTGGGTTCCACCGTTCCACCTTAAGTTTGAGGGGGGTGTTGATATATATATTGTATATATTTATATATATATCCTACCTAATATATCTCTTATATAAATATAATATTGTACCATAATTGTGATTCAACGAAAATAGAGTTTATTCCATAAATCGTAACATTTTTTATGACGTGAGAATCCGCAGTCGCTATCCGAAAGTACTCACTGGATAAATCTCCGGCCGAACCTAATGTCCTGCAAATCAGACCCGACGAAAAAGTCACACTAGGCGAACCATATGAGACATTCTTAATTAAGATAACAATAGCTTGTTCTTTCAACATTATTTTTCAATTGCGATTTTTAAAAATAATAATAAAAAATAAAAAATATTTTATACAAGAGTTAAAAAAAAATAAATTCAAATATTCATTGTAAAAAATTAAAAAGACATTACAAAAAGTTAAAAATAAATATTCAACCTAAACGAATATATTTTATATATTTTTTACACAATTCTTCATACCACACATAAAAAATTATTTCATCTAAAAAGCTGGTGAACAAAGACAATTATATAGATTATAGATTATAAAATCATAAATATGGTAAAACTGATTTACTAATTACATATAAAGTGTTTTTTTTTTTTGTTTAATATTTTTATTTGACATGTGAGATTATAGTTCCGGTTCATCGCTTGAAACAATCAATATATAAAATATAAGGGTTAACTGTTTTTTTAGTTCCGTAACTGACCCCTTATTATTTTAGTCTTGTAAGTGGAGCATGTCACAAATTAGTCTTATAAGTGGAAAATTTTCGTTGTTTTAGTCCTCCGGCGCCGGAGACGCCCGCATGGCTCGCCGGAAACCACGTGTCTGTCAGGTGTCCTGCCAGGTCAACGACACATAGCGGACACGTGGATTTTATTTTTATTTTATTTTTAATTGTTTTAATTTTTTAATTGGACCAAATAAAAAAATTAAAAAAAAACAAATAAAATTAAAAATAAATTTTAAAAAAATAAAAATTAAAAATAAAATCTACGTGTCCGCCAGGTGGCGCTGACCTGGCGGACACGTGACCTCCGGCGAGCTACGCGAGCGTATTCAACGCCGGAGGACTAAAAGTCTAAAACAACGAAATTTTTTCACTTATGAGACTAAATTGCTACAGGCTTCACTTACGGGACTAAAATGATAATGAGGTCCAGTTATGAGAGTAAAAAAACAGTTTATCCAAAATATAAATAGACAATGAATATATATATATTACTATATAATACAAATACAAAATACAAATTAATATCATATGATAATAGTATCCCTAACACATTCTATAATTAAATTAAGAACATAATATATATATATATATATTATATTGAGATAAAAAAATGATGAATTTTGATTATATTGAGACAATAATGATAGGTTTTGGTTATATTTTGACTAAAATTGATAAAAAATTTTATATTGAGAATAAAAATAAATTTTTTAAAAAAAAATACAATTATACATTTTAATTATATTTTAAATTAATTAATTTAAATAAAGACCTTAACAAAGAGATCAAACGTGATTGATGATTTGGCTGTGACGTTGGAAGTCACGCCACGCCCTAATTAGTAATAAAGGGGTCGTGTCCAAATAAACAAACTCATTATTAGTACAAGGACAAAGTCCATTTTGATTGTAAGAATTTTATATAAAGGTACATATGTACATGGCTCTTTAATTATTCCAATATATATACATATACTAGTATGTTTAAAAGATACTCTCTCCCCGTTCAAGCTAAAAGTATATAATTATTTTTGGCGCGGTGATTAAAGAATAATAGTATTATAATTATAGTGGGTAGGTAAAAATAGTAAAATGTCATTTTTGTCTTTACTTTTTTAGTATAAAAGTAACGGTGTGATGTAAAGTAGGAGTATTTGTGGAAAAAATGAGGTATTTAATGAAATAGTTACTTTGTAATTGGACGTTCCAAAATAGAAATATGTATACTTTCTAACTGGACGGAGGGAGTAATATTTTCGTCCTGCGATATGTATTTATTTAATTTGTTTTTTTTAGGTAGATTTCGAAATATTAATATAATTTTATATGTATATAATAAAAAAAATATAATTTGTCATATATATATATAAATAAATTAGTTAAATAACGATGATGATATTTTATATTTTGACTTGTACACTTGTATATTGTATCTATTTACTTTTGGTGTTACTATTGTAAATTTTAAAATATTGATATTATATATATACACAATATAATGAAAAAAATATGAATATACAATTTTACTCCTATGTTTATAATGTAATTAAATTATTTTGATAATATTTACAATTAAAAAATCGAATAAATTGATTTTTAGATGGAAGAAATAATAAAATGGATAATACTTTAGTTCTTTCTAATTTTTTTCCGAGACGTATTTTTTCAAGAAAATTAATACACTATACATCTTCATTATTTTTATATTTTCTACACAATTTGTTGTACTTTACATAAAAAAAAAAAAAATTTCTTTTCCAAAAATCTCACAAAACAAACTCATGCTACTGAAAAGATTATTAGGAGGTTTTAAACAAACATTATTTAATTAAATATTTTTTAAAAAATTTATTTTTATTAATATTAAATATCTAAAAAAATTGATAAAACAACACAGGCAAGTTAAAAAAAATAATACCCCCTCCGTCCCACATATCATATCCACATTGTCGTTTTTGTCCGTCCCACGTACCATGTAACTTTCATTTTTTTGAAAATAATTACACACTTTAATCTCATTTTAAATTTTTTTAAAAATTTTAATTAAATTAATTAGTTATCTTAATCTTAATCTTAATTTATAATTATTTATATTATAGGATAATTATTTTTACTAATACATTCTTAATTATCTACGAATTATACCTCTCTTAAAATATCGTGTCTACAGTATAGCAGACACTGTATATGAGACGGACTAAGTATTTCGGAAACAAAAAATACTTTTGTTTTCCCATTTGTTTCATAGTCAATCCAATCCACAGTACCTAGTCCAAAAATGTCACCAGGAGGGCAAAGTAGTAAATATAAGTGCCGATATCCATGCACCAGTAGCCGTCGGATTACTTGTATATATATATATCGACGATCGATGAGCCGTTCCTTCACTGCCTCCGCAACAGCGACGCTTTGAGCTCTCTCCGTCTCGTCTCTCTATCTACGTATCTTTCGTCTTCAGTCTTCTCAGTCTCTCCGCAACCATGTCTGCCTACCGGGGGAAGTACGCCGGTAAACTCTCTCTCAACTAATATGGTTTATTTATTTATATTTTTAGTTATAGAATCGCTGTGTTTGTGTAGATCTTCGCTACTGCATTAGCATTTTTCTCTGTTTCGTTTGTTGATTTCAGATCTTATATGTTTGCCGATGTGCGTGATGAAAAATCAGAAAATTGTATTTAGTTTTTAGGTATGGCGATTGGTGGATGCTGTGATCGATGGAGTTCGTTTATTTATTTATTTTTGGTAGCGCCGATTTGTTTTTAAACTGAAAAATGAAACTTCGAACGAATGTATGTTCTTCGTGGGGAGATGCTTAGTACTATTTGCTGGCTTAGTGTATAATTCCCCGTCTTTTACTGATTGATGTACGTATCGGTTGTTGACATCATTGGGCATGTATTCTTCAATGATCTATATCTCCATAGATGTTACGTTTCGTTTTATTATTCTAGGCTTACATTTCAGTTTAATGCGACCAGCGTTTCCGTGTTCCACTGATTTTAGTTCTGGATTTATAACGTGAAACAGTCCATGTTTATGCGATTCGGTATTAGATTTGCGAACTGCAGATTGGACTTGAATTTTTCTATATCTACTATTTCGCGATAGATCATAGAAGTCATCACATTTCGTTTATTGGTATATAAATCAGTGCAAAGCCTGCAAAATTTTACGAGAATTAGAAATGAATGGTTGAATCTATTTTGGAGTGCTTTAGATTTTAAATTTATCCAGTGGAAAATAGGTTTTGAATGTGATATTTTGAATGAAAATGCTCATTACTCTGTAATTCTATATTCTATTCATGAATAGGTATATATGTTGGTGTTACTGTCAATAATTTCTTGTTTCTCCCTCATTTAGCTTACAGATCCTCTAAAGCTTTTTATACTGCCCCCTGTTCTTCAGTTCGTAGACAAATTCCTCTCTTACTGATTCAAAACATTCTTCCTTTCTGCAGATGAACTCATTAAAAATGCTTCATACATTGGCACACCTGGGAAGGGTATCCTTGCTGCCGATGAATCAACCGGAACAATAGGCAAGCGCTTGGCTAGCATCAGCGTCGAGAATGTCGAGACTAACAGACGCGCTCTCCGTGAGCTTCTTTTCACCGCCCCCGGCGGCCTCCAGTACCTCAGCGGCGTCATCCTCTTCGAGGAAACACTCTATCAGAAAACAGCTTCAGGTATATAATAATTAATAAAGCGCATCCTTCTAAAAGTTTAAACTTTTAGATGTGATCGCGGTATAACATCCATGTTACAAAATTTCAGGCAAGCCATTTGTCGATGTGTTGAACGAAGGCGGCGTCCTCCCCGGGATCAAAGTCGACAAGGGCACCGTCGAACTTGCTGGCACCAACGGCGAGACCACCACCCAAGGCCTCGACGGGCTCGCCGAACGCTGCCAAAAATACTACGCCGCCGGCGCTAGGTTCGCAAAATGGCGAGCCGTCTTGAAAATCGGCGCAAACGAGCCGTCCCAGCTCGCGATCAACGAAAACGCCAACGGCCTAGCTCGCTACGCCATCATCTGCCAGGAGAACGGTCTGGTGCCGATAGTCGAGCCGGAGATCCTCGTCGACGGCGCTCACGACATCTACAAGTGCGCCGACGTAACGGAGCGCGTTCTCGCCGCTTGCTACAAGGCTCTCAACGATCATCATGTCCTCTTGGAAGGAACTCTGTTGAAACCCAACATGGTGACTCCGGGATCGGATTCCCCGAAGGTCGGTCCCAACGTCATCGCCGAGTACACGGTGCGCGCCCTGCAACGCGCTGTGCCGCCTGCCGTTCCGGCGGTGGTGTTCTTATCGGGCGGGCAGAGCGAAGAGGAGGCGACGCTCAACCTTAACGCGATGAACAAATTGTCGACGAAGAAGCCGTGGAGCCTCTCGTTCTCGTTCGGGCGCGCTCTCCAGCAGAGCACGATCAAGGCGTGGGCGGGGAAGGAGGAGAATGTCGAGAAGGCGCAGGCTACATTCCTCGGCCGGGCCAAGGCCAACTCGGAAGCGACGGTCGGGACGTACCAGGGTGGCGCTGCCTTGAGCGACGGCGCGTCGGAGAGCCTCCATGTGAAGGACTACAAGTATTGAATGAAGGTATGTGGTTGTTTTGTTTTTGAAGTGTTTCTGCTTTTCTATGCATTGGCTTTTTTTTTTTTTTTTTTTTTTTTTAAAAAAAAAATTTGTCTGAATAAAAGATTGGAGGATGTTTAAAAGTCCTTTTAATTATGGGTAATACAAGGAGTTTGGTTCTAACTTAATATGAAAATTTATGATTATGTATATTTGAAAGAGCAGCAGCACAAAAGTGTGGAAGCTGAAGCTTCCAAGTAGAGATTCAAGAAAAGATGAAATTTTGTGTTGTGTTGTATTGAATGAATTTTGTTGTATGAGTAGATCGAAATGTTGGAAAATTGGTTAATTATTTAATTGGTTAAATTAAATTCATAATTTTCGAAATCGATTATTCGGTGAGTTAAAATGCATGTAGGTTGTACGGTGATTATTGATAGTGTGCTTAGGCATATAAATGCCGTATCTGGATCAGATAATTAGATGCATATATGATAAATAATTATGTGAAATTTAAAATTCAAATAATATATTTATGTCAAGAATTAAATTTGATGTTTATGACCGAAATTAAATTGATGTTTATGACCAAAATTAAATATGATGTTTATTGTCGGACGTTATCAAAATTATGGCCGACGATTACAAACTATTAAAAGTCGACGGTTTCGACTCGGCATTTAAACTCTAAGGGGTGGAGGGCCTATAAAAGACTCTCTCCACCACTTCATTCCACACCACACCAAGAGGAGTTCTTCCTCTCTAATTCTCTCCAACCCACACAATTTCTGGCGAGTTTTCCGGCAAGCTCTGGAAGTTATATTTGCCTAACTTTCCGACATAGCTTAAGTCCCCTTATTTTAGTTCGCCGGAGCTCCGAAATATTGGAGTGTCACCTAATTCGGAGACAAATTTCGTTTTATCTTTGGGAACGTTACGTCACAAACCGGAGGGCACTACCGGGACGTATTCACTTTTACGAAAAGAGGTTCTACCTCGACTCGACATGAATATCGAATTTATTTGGATAAAGTTATTGTGATTATCAAAAGTATTTTGATAAATCGATTATCGAATTTATTTTGATAAAATTATTGTGATTATCAAAATTATTTTGATAAATTGATTATCGAATTTATTTCGATAAATTATTATTGATTATCGAATTTATTTCAATAAAATTGTCGTGATTATCGAATTTATTTCGATAAATTATTATTGATTATTGCATTAATTCCGATAAATTATTTTGATATCGAATTTTATATTTCGATAATTATTTGATATAAATTTTTTCTAACATGAAGAGTATTTTATTTAAATACAAGAGTTTCATCAATTAACTGCTTATGCTAATTGCCTAACAAACTAACAACAAAATAGGTAGTGTGATGCCTGTTCATGATTGTAGTTACTTAGTAAAGATGATAAGGTTAATCAAACTAGTCAGTGTCAACATATTTGGTATGTTTATGATTGATAGTGTCAATGTCAATAGAGGATAAATTATCACAACAGAGAGGAATAGGGAAAGTTTAAAATGTTCCTGTAGTTGCCTAATTTTGCTATAATTTGAATTTTAAAATTTAATACTTCCTCCGTCCCACGAAGAAGTATTAATTTGTTTTTTTCACGTAGTTTTAAAAATATTAGTATTATATTAGGATATAATAGGAATAAAATAGAAATGACTAAAATAACCTTTATTAGTATATGTGATATAAATGTAATGATATTTGTGTAATATATTGTAAGTTGTAAGGGTATTTTTAATGTTAAGTAGATAGTACAATTACTAGTTGATACTTTATTATTGGACGAACTAAAATAGAAAAATAAATATTTTGTTATGTGAGAGAGAGAGTAATACTAATTGATGAACGATGAATATAATAATAAAAATATCTATTAAATTTAATTGATAAAGTTAATAATGATAAAATTTTATTATATATTTATATTATATCTAATGTATATATTTTTAAATTTTTATTTATTTGTATTATAAAATTTTTTATTTTTTACAAAATGACTGACATATACTCCCTCTGATTTTGGTTCTTATTGAATTCGATTTGTATTTTTTCCTAAAAAATTAGTTTTTTTGTTATTTATTTTAGACAACACTATAAAAAAGAAAAACCCTAGTGTCCAAAATCCCAAACCCAATTCCAAATCCGCAGGCACAACATACCCGTTCACAAATCGTCGCCGGCCGCCTCGCCACCAGAATCATCGACCTAGCAGATCGTTGCCGGCAGCCTCCCTCAGTCGCACACGACGCACAATCTTGTCTGTCTTCTCGCCCACTCCGAAGTCGCAATTCCCAGCCTCGCTTCGTCTTTCAATCCCTCCCAAGGTATGAGCGTACAATATGTGTTTATTGTTTCTTATTCTTTGTGCAATTACAAGCTCTTAACAATTGAAGCGTTTCCTATTGTACTCTGGTTTTATTCATGTTTGATCACTCTGGAGTATTCATGTTTTTTTCATGTTCCGTAAGCTTGAGGTAGATCTTAAGCTCACACTTTTTTTTTTTTTGATTACATACCTCTAATTGATGCATAAATGAGTGAAACGAAACACGTCGACCACTAAGGTTGAAAAACAAAACAGATCAAACATTTTCAATGTTCGAGAAAAATTACAAATCTCAATCAAGACTACAACTTGTAGCGCGGTATCAGTATATGGTATACCCTACTAACCATCCTTAAATGTATTTTTTTATTTTTTAAAGAGTCTACTTTAAGGTTAATGTTTAATTGAGATTATCAATTGAGTAGATATATTGAAGCATCATGCCAAACTTAAAAGAATTTTAGTGTAAATCATATCAGAACTTTTAAGTTACACAAGATTCATCAATTAGGTGACTTTTCTCCCTACTCTTAAGAATTCAATTATTTGTGCTTATTGTATTGCATGTGGCTTGGATGATATGTTGTAGCATTGCATGTTGAAATATATGTGTGTGTGATCACTTCTAGTTGAGGTATCCAAGATAACATTTGGTTAGAGACCATGTATGTTTGCCGATTTTTGTATAAAAGTTGGCATCTCACGTTCTCAATTATGGATAAAACTTCTTACATGATTGTGTAGTTATGTACCGAGACTCTAGATGCCATTGTTTGGAAGGTTGTGCTTTTTGGTGTCTTTTGAATAGTAAAATTTTTGAATTGTAATAATTGTTTGATGGAATATAAATAAGTATTTGATTTGATCTTTTGAATATAATGTTTTTTGGTATATAATATATTAAATGAAAATAAATGTATAATGTGATTTCGTGGGAAAATTAAATTATTGTAGATGAATATAGTGAACTGGTTGGGAGAAAAAATGAGACAAAATACAGACAAATAAAGTGATGTGTATCTACAGAGCCAACATTTATTAGTTGTTTGTAATGGAACGAGGACTGCCATTCTGTTGTTTAGGAGCCGTGAGGCTCATGTTGGAATAGTCCCGATTGATTGTCAATGAGCTGATTTGCACAGGTCATTTGAGCAGCTAGTTTTGTTGATTATGGACCTTGTAGTCCTGACACTATACACGACATATGTGCCTAGATAGCCCTGGAGGCCCCGACAGGCTCTTCAATTCTCAGATGAGCCTAGATAGTTGTGATACCCCAGAGTTGAATAGAGATAAGTCGGAGAGAATGTGATATCCCAAAGTTGAATTGAGTTTAAGTAGATCAATTAGACTGTTCATGTCAATAATGTGCACTTTTTCAGAAGTCCACTTAAAGGAACTCTAGAGTTAAATATATTCATTCTAGAATAATTTCAAAATGGGTGACCCGGGGAAAGTATCCCAAAATACGCGTGAGTGAGGACAAAGTGCTATGATAGAACTTGTGTTGATCCATGGGTCAGTCTACGATCCCCACACACCTGATTTTGCGGGGCTTGCGGGCCGGGGTGTTACAATAGTCCCAAGCCCACAGGTTCTAATATTCCGATATTTGGGATGGGTCTTAGATAATTCCAGCTTTAGATATACTCATATTTAAGTGAATTGCAGATAAGACGAGATATGTGATGGCCTGATTAGAGATCTTGATTAGTTCAGAAGCTGAAAAAGATTAGAAAAAGGCTCATTGCATGGCATGTTTTTACAAAATTTATACATTTAAACTGCATGTCTTATAAAGTTTTGTATTGATAAATGATTTTCATCAATATACTGTTTATTTCAACAACTAATTCATGTGTCTGCCCATACCCAAGCATATAAAAAACTCCATTTACGTGTGTATACTTATTTATGTTCAAAATCCAAAGAGAGAACTGGTAAATATGTAACACTGAAAAGGAATGAATTTAGAAGCTCTATGTTAATATATTTTATAATTTGGTTTGTGAATTTGTTATTTGCATTACCTTTTCCATTCGAATTTCCCATCTCCGTAAATTTTTATAATTGATTTAATCAAGTACCAATTTTTATTCTGTCTCATACACTTTGGTTTCTATTCGTGGTTTAGTTTTGGTATAGTTAATGTGACAACTCATGGGCACCGCATCGGAGGAAGAAGAATATACCTCATTCCTTGAGAAGGTAAAAAGGACAATCTACGTCGACAACTTGGCACCTCAAGTGACCGAATCAGTATTGAAAGCTGCATTCAATCAGTTTGGAAATGTGATTAGTATTCAGATCACACCCGACTATCTTGAGTCGAAAAGAATGCCTCGTTCGGCTTTGGTGGAGATGGAAACCCCCAAGCAGGTTAAAGAAATTGTGTTTCAGATGGCAAATTTCCCATTCATGATATCTGGAATGCCCCGGCCAGTCAGAGCCTACCCTGCAAAAGTGGAGATGTTTGACAACCGTCCAAGGAAACCAGGCAGGAAAATAGAGTGTCGATGGTTGGACCCAAAAGAAGCCGAGTTTGAGGTTGCCCAGAAAATCAAGCACACTGTGAGAAGACATGCTGCAGAAGCATCACTAGTGCTTGAGGTACACATTGGGTCATAACCACAGTTTTTATGTTTCTTTCGTTTCAATTGGGGTCAATTGAATTTGTGTCTAGGGTTGTGAATTGGAACAAGTAATTTACGATTTCACTTTTTTTTTTTTCCTTCCTGAAATCTGAATTCGGTCATTCTTGATTAAAAGATTCCGAAATTGTTTGGGAAGTCTTGGAATCAAGGCAAAATAGCAAGACAACCCCAATGGTTTGCGAAATTTGCTAAAAAGACCCCTGGTTCTAAAATTTCGTTTTACTTACCAGTGGTTCAGATAATGATAGCAAGAAGTACCCCACCCATTAGTATTTACCGGAGATTGTAGCAGACATGTTTAAACTGTGAGTATTATAACAAATTCATAGATTATAGAAAAAAGAAAACTAGTTTTAATAAAACACATGAGAGTATTTTTGTAACTTCCTCGCCTGTTATGTTATCTATGAATTTGTAATAATACTGGCAGTTTAAGCACGTCTGCTACAATTTTTGTTAAGTACTGACGAGTGGAGTATTTTTGCAACATTATTTGAACCACAAATAGATAAAACAGAGTTTTAGGACCAGGAGGTTTTTTCAGCAAATTTCGCAAACCACATGAGTGAATGAAATAATGACGTACTTATTGTAATGCCAATGTGTGCAGCAACAACGGGTGGAGGAAGAAAAGCTTGCAAACCAACAGAGTGAAATGTTGAAATCTCATTACAAGAAGTTTGAGCTTCTGGAAGGCGTCTTTGACGACGGGACTGCTAAACATTTAGCGCGCCATTACAACATGCCAATGTCCGATGCCTGAGATTCTGCGTGGGAATAAAAGGTAATTCTTCTTCACCTCAAAAATGTGTTTTATTTATTCTCCCTATGTTCTTAAGATTTTATTTATTACATATCTTTTAACATTGAAATGCATCAATAAGTGATTGTGTGTAGACATGTCTTTAGTAATTTAATGATATGAATTAGGCTCAACCATTTTGTAACTAAGCTGGAATTGTGTGTATATATATAATAGCTGTTTGAAATAATTAAAGATTATTCTGTGTTTTCACAATGTCTTTATGATGATAGAGGATACTAAGAGGTTTGCTCGGATTTAGTTTGAAAATAGTAAAAAGTTAAACGTGAAATAGTTTTTTTTTTTTTAAATGTAAATATTCTTTTGATGTCATATTTGAATGAAATGTATTTTTGATACAATATTGAAACCTAACAAAATGTTTATTTTGTGTTTTTGGATATATATATATTTTTAAATTAGACATAGATAAGTGTGTCAGCTCTATAAAAAATAATATTTTATGTTGAATTGAACTTTTTTTTATTTATTTTTTGTTTTTTTGATGACGTAGGAATCCGCAGCCGCTGCCTGAAAGTGTTAAATCTCGGCCGAACCTAATACTTTGCAAACCAGGTCTGACGGAAAAGTCAACGCTATGCGAACCATGTTTGGTAGGTGACCTGAGGCGTCGGAGGTTTGAATTGAATTTTTTTTGAGTGAATAGACAGTATATTTATTATATAATATTTATATAATTAATACACTATATGTTAAATTTATAAAAGAGAGGAAAATTCAAATATATTTATTTATTAATAAATAAAAATAAAATATTAAAATGAATTATATCTTAAAAAATTTAGAAAAATAATTAAGACAATAAAAATTAGGAAAAACGTTCAACTACGAAACAACATATGTAAAACATGTGTACAATAATTTATTACAGTGTATTATTATATATCATCTCAATATATACTAATGAGAAATGGTAAATTATATATAAATTATGGTTTTTTCTATGGTGGCTCTAAAATTTATTTTAGCCTACAAGTTTAAGATATATCAACTCCTAATGTTACTTTGTGGAGTATCAACAAAGAGCAATGGAGAAAATGTACAAAAATAAAAATAAAAATAAAAATATATGCTGTCGACAAAAAATTGATTTTTCAGACAACTGCGGTTGCAATTAATAAAAGAAACAAAAAAAGTAAAACAAATAAAAGGCAAATAAAATTGATAAAACTTAAATCCGATCAATAATAATAATAATAATAATAATATTCATAAAACTTGAAGGAAGACAAATAAACATTATAGTGCATGAACCTAAAGGAATAGACGAATATGCAATACAAGAGAAAAAATAAAGAACCAAAAAAGAAAAATAAAACATAACACTCCTCCCGGCCCAATACAATAGTCTTGTTTACTATTCATTTCTATAATAAAGATATCTCTACTTTTTTATTATTATTACAAAAGTCATTTATTCCTATTTTTTTATCAACTACCAATATAATATCAATATTCCTTAAATATTGTGCCGAACACAATAAGACTATACTTTTAGGACGGAAGGACTATAAAAAAATAAATAAATAAAATAGAGGAAGGAAAACTTCTGAGCTTCTTCCCGGGGACTTTTTGGCATCAAATCGCCTGTTCCAGAAACTTACCCTCTTCTACTCTCAATTTATGGAAAAAAAATTATATGTAAAATTTAATTTAATTTAGGTATTTTAATTTTGAATTCTATCTCTATCACTTACTTCTTTTTTTTTTTCAAAAAATCAAAAGTAAAAACTATTCCATGTTAATTTTTATTTAATTTTAAAATTTTTTAGTTTTACATTACTTTATATTTTTTATGGATAATATATAGTTTTTCATAAAATATCACAATGAAATAACAAAAAAAAGTACATACAAAATAAGCTTTTGAAATATATTATATATTTAGACTTAATTGTTATACAATATTCTATGTTTTATTTTTATCTTAATAGTAATTTAATATAAATTTTATAAAAATTTAATACTCCTACCGTGTCTAGCCTAAAGATATACATTTATTTTGGTTATGGGAAACTGGTGTCATCATTGTCCAATATGTTGGATTACTTACCTGCACAAAGAAAAAGATAAAAACAAGTTAGTCAAGCAATTGTCTTTGGCTCTTTGATTCTTACACTATCCAGACTTGTCTTGTCAGTTTACTTTACTGGGTCTGGATAAGTAGAATTACGTATGGCTTGATCCCGTTTGAATACGTAGGCAGCCCTACTTTGGGCGCAATTATAGGTTTTTTTTTTTTTTTTATAAAAACAAGTTAGTCAAACAATATAGTAATTTAGCCTAACATCTACACACGTGTAGAATACAACTAATCGAATGTGTCAAAACATATTATTTTCAAACAAGATACAAATTTATTAATTTTCCACAATATTGTATACAATAGGAGGAATATATTCAAATCCAAACTTCGACAGAATTACATTACATTGTAAATATGTCATACAACCAAAATATGTAACACTCAATATACAAATAAAAAGAGACGGTCTGGTGGTGTGTGAGTTGGACCATGGGTTCAAATCTCCGATGCCTCATATCATCTGCCACATATAGTTCGCCTAGTGTAACTTGCCTGTCGGACCTAGTTTGCAGGGTATTAGGTTCGGCCAGGGATTTACCCAGTGCACACTTTCGAGTAGCGGCTTTTAGGACTATTCCTAACCTTACCTCTAACAAATAGGTAATTTTCAAACTTATTTTCAGTTTTACTTACAATAGGCTCACCAACAACAAATAAGATTCGAAAATCAACAACAAAAATATCAATTTCATTACATAAAATACTCCACCTCATATTGAACACTATAAAAAAACAACAAAAATATCAATTTCATTATATAAAGTACTCCACCTCATATTGAACACTATAAAAAACAATATTAAGTTCTTTCTCAAATTTGATATTATCAGTTTCAACATCAAATAGCACAGATTCGACTGATTGAACACATGTTTCATTAGAAACAGAATTAATATCATCACATTTAAAAACATAATCCCTTCTCAACCTTTGAATTTTCGTTTATTTGAATAGACACATTTTAGCAACACTACAATTAATTACGTAATCACTCTCAGCAATTTCAATGTCAACAAATTGCACATTTTTTGATTTGCAGACAACATGTTGAATATCCGTACATTCAAAATGAAAATCAAATTTGACAGGTTTAATTTCTCCATTTTCTATATCAACCAAATTATATTCCACCTTAATTCTAATATTACAAAAATTTGTATTAATTTCAACAGTTTCACAATCAACCAATTCAGATTCTCCAATATTCAAACATGACATACAAATTAAATGTCACATTATTACTAATAATAGTTTTAAATTCGGATTTAGAACTTAACCACAATCTATACTCCGTAACACCATAATTTAAGAAAACACAATTTTCAGTCTTCATTTCAAATTTATCAATGCAAATACGTATCACAGCAAGACACCAAAACATACGAACATTAGATATGTCGACTTATCTACCCAATCACTTACTTTCAGGAATTTCGCCATTAAGGGGGATAGAAGATGTTCGATTTAAAAGATAAGTTGCCGTTACAGCGGCTTCACCCAAAAATTTTCCTGATAAATCGGATGAAGTCAAAAGACTTCTAACTCTCTCCAAAAGAGTCCGGTTTAGCCTCTCAGCCACTACACTAGATTGAGGTGTTATGGAGACAAATTCAAATTTCATACAATTTTTATTGAACCAAGTATTACAAAAATTCAAACTATTATCAATTTTAATACATTTAATTTTTGTGTCAGTTTCAAGTTCAATTTGAATTTTCTAATTCTTGAAAATTTTAAATAAATCCAGTTTATTTTTCAATAAGAAAATGCAAATTTTTCTAGAAAAATCGTCAACAACAATTAAGATATATCAACTCCCACTATGAGTGGGTTCCTTGGAAGGTTCACATATATCTATATGTATACATTCCAAATTTTGTTTTGAAAAAATATTATTTTAAGGAGTTTTTGACGAAAATTAAACTTTACAAAAGGAACAATAGAAAATTTCTCATTTTTTCATATGACCAGATTCATGCATAATTTTCAGACCATTATTGCTAATATGACCTAGCCTCTTATGCCATAATTCAAAATTATCTATATTATAATATACATTCATAGGTATATCAAAGGTTACGTACAAGTCATTTTTCAATTCTGCCCTAAAATCACTAAAAACCCTTTTGTTATTTTCATGCAATTTAAACCTCACTTTCCTTCTAAACTTAAAGTAAATAATCTAACACATGACAACAGATTATTAGATAATTCAGACACATATCTCACATCATGCAATTTCAGTACATTTTCAGATCTAAATTTCAGATTAATAACACAAATTTCTTCAACTTTACATACATGTTTATCAACTATAGTCACATAACAATGTGTTAAAAATTTATACTCAGAAAAAATATTTTTCAATGGTATCATATGATATGTGCAAGCAGAATTAACTATCCATTCATTAGCAATAAAAAAAAATTTGAATTTAAATCTGGACAAAAAACAAACACATTCCACAAATCATTATCAATAACAGTATATTGGCTAACTCACATGCTGCATTACTATTATTTTTTATTACCGTTATTATTATTATTATTATTATTATTATTATTATTCTTATTATTATAGGTTTCTTATGGAAATTTCTTATGAAGTGTGAATGATCACCACAATTATAATATTTCTTTGATCTTTTATTAGGAGTTTTAAACCTATTTCGATTTTTATTTTTATTATTCTGATTTTTATTCTTATTATCAGAATTTCCAAAATTATTATTCTTATTAGATCTAAAATGAAATATACCCCTTAATATACATAACCTCACCGGATTTATTAAATTTATTTACATTCAAATCTAATTCTTTATTTTTTGAAACATTAATAACCACATCTAAAGTTATAAAATCACGCTCATATTTAATTGCAGATTTTACATCAGAATATGCACTTGGAATAGCATTCAAAAGAACTTTATCACAATAATCATCTGTATTCTTATCACCGGTAAGCTTAATATCTTGAATTAATTTTTGAAAAATATCAAAATTTTCATCAATAGTTTTAAATTAATCAAATTTAAAACTAAAGATTTTTTTTAACAAATAAAGCCTACTAGGTAAAGAAGTTTGAGTATATAATTCGTCCAATTTATTCCACAATGCTACAACAGATTCTTGCCTACCAACCTTACAAATTACATGATCAACTAAATTTAGAATTATGCAAGATGAAGCCATTTCATCCAACTCGGTCCTCTTTTCGAGAGGAACTGTAGTTGCTTGATCCGGCTCCGCTTTAATTAATCTTTGAGTAACAAGTATACTTCTCATTTTTTGTTTCCAAATAACAAAATTAATTTTTTCATCAAAAGGTTGGATATTAAAAAACATTTCCCAACCATAATTATCAATTTTCGAAAATAGTTTATATAAAAAATGGCAAAATAGCATAAAACCCCTCTGTGATTTCCCGAATTTGCTGAAAACCCCCTGTGGTCCTAAAATTCCATAAAACCTACTTGTGGTTTCTAAAACGTTGCAAAAAATCCCTCCCCCCACCCCGTTAGGATTTAACGGCGATTGCATCTCACGCGCTCCTATTGCAATTTTTTGTACGAAAATTGATATATTACTATGTGAAATTACAAAAATACCCTTAGATATTAATACACCTATATTCATCTCCTTCACCTTTTTCTTCTCCTAAACAGCAGAGGACATATGATTGA